CCCTATCCCCCTGTGTGCCTTGCCTCCCACGACTAGTTAAAAATTTTTGCCTGCCTACCTAATATAACTTAACCCCTTTACTTGGGCATGTGACTGTTTAAGAAAAAATTTAAAATCCTCACCCTTGTTAGACCAGAGTACTTAGTTTTCTTTTTTTTTTATCAGATTACTTAGTTTTATTAGTTATTGAAGGTTACAACAAAATCAAGGAATAATAATATCTGAAAACAACAATAGAATCCAAATAAAGCCCCCTCTTAGCCAAACCATATGCATTATCATTGGCATCTCTATAACATTCTCAAAAGAAAATCCCCATAACAAATATTCAGAGCTTTTGCTTAAATGGATAGCAACCTCCAAAGCGGTCTACTCTGTTTATTGTACCAATTAATAACATTTATAATGGTATGTTTGGTTCGTATGAAAATGTTTTTTTGAAAATATTTTCACATGAAGAAATTCTCTCATGTAGTCAAATGTGGAGAATATTTTTATATTTATTAGTTGCCAAATTGTGTGAAAATATGCATTAAAACTAATTGATATGAAAATATTCTAACATTTGACCATATAAAAAAATATTTTTGTGTGAAAATATTTTCTAAAAATACGAACCAAACATACCAGTGAATCACCTTCCACTGCACAAAGGTCCCAATATTCCTTTCTCTCACCAATTTCAGTCCATACCACAACTCAGAGTTTAAACACTTGGCTGCGAGTACGTTCCAGGCCAACTCGGCGATTCAGCTCGGTCGACACGGGCAAATAATGGATAGGAAAAAAAACAAAGAAAACAAGCAAAAGAATTACAAAAAGTCTAGAAAAGAATATTCCTAACTAAAGTTGAATTTTATTTTATGTGATAGGAGGTATATAACAAAGTCAAAGTAAAATTAAAAAATAAAAAGTATCTAGATAATATAAGGTGGGAAAGATGCTGGACAAAAAAATAAAAATTTGTAATTAGAGATTTTTTGTTTTAATTCAAAAACAAAAAGCCGAAATTGGAGATTTTTTGTTTTGATTCAAAAATATTATCAGGGCTTTTGTAGATCAATATAATAGGAACATTATCGCACAGATTTGGTGCAAAAATGAAAAAGAGAAAATATTTTCAATTTTGGGTTTAAAAACTCCCCAAAATTTGAACTATCAATTGCTTCGATTATGGTTTTATATTCAACAAATTTCTATAGGGATCTTTTAGGGTCTCTGATACCAACATTTTGAATTAGATGATTTGGTTGAGAAATAAGAGAGAAATGATATTTTGTCTCAAAGATGGGGCTTTTTTTTTTTGAAAAAAATCTTACCTAAATTTAGTTTTGTTATCTAAAGCATGAATTTCTGGGGGCTAAGATAGATCAATTTGGATCCAAATTAATCAAATTAGGGATTGTATATGGATTAATGGTTGTAAAAAATAAAAAAATAAATGACCTATTTTCCCATGTGAAAAAAAAAAGGTTGCCCAAACCAACTCACCCGAGTCCAACTTGGCCTAAGTGCCCTTCTATTCGAGTTGAGTCGATTATTCCCGAGTTGATTAGGTGACATTTTAAACCTTGCCATAGAGGAATATGTATGGTTCAACTATTATGTAAGGGGTGTTGTTTGTATAAGGCTGAGGCTCTAAACAATCAAAATAGAGTGCACATTTAAAATAGTCCCGAAATATTTTGTTTTGATATTATAAATCTTTACAATGGCCTAAAAAATTAATTTTATCTCTAATAATAAAATTTGAAGTTCAAAGTAGTGTAGGTCAAATAGATCTGTGAATACTTGAAAATCTAGAAAATTAATGGTCTGGATGATACATTACAAGATGCACTTTTTTCAATATTTGAAAACTTTTTTTTTCTCCATGCATATTATGGTTGAAATGATTGAATTGAGGGTTTTTCAACATCGAAACAATCATTTTGAATAAAATTTTTGAGGTGCGTCTTAATTTGATTGTTTAGAACCTCACACTTATATAAACTTTTCACTTATTTAACAATCATTAATTATAGGGTGCGGTTTGTATAGAACCGAGGATCTAAACAATCAAAATAAAGCCCACCTTTTAAATAGTGTCGAGAAATATAGTTTACAATAAAAATTCACACCTCAAAACCACTTTGGAAAATGTCGCTTTGGCAACTCATAAACCTTAGAGATAATTATGGCTCTGAAAATAAAGAAAAAAAAAAAAAAAAAAAAAAAGAAAAAAAAAGAAAAAAAGAAAAAAAAGTAAAAAAAAAAAAAAAAAAAAAGATAAAAAAAAGTAGGTATTAGAGCCATAATTGTCTCTATTAATTAGTGTATCATGTAAGTTGTAACACATCATATGAATTGTCCATTTTAGTGTTTACAAATATACTTGATCTAAGCTAATTTTTTGTACTTCAAAATTTATACTAGGGCAAAAGTGGTTTTGAAGCTATCATAGGGATACTCCACCCCATAATCACATTTTCAATGGGGGTTTTAAGGTGTGGCTCTATTTTTTAGTGCAAAGACTAGGCCTAAAACTAGCCACACCTTTATTCAAAGGGTGTTATCACTGTTAACTAGGCTTAGACATTACAATAAAATGTAGGGCTATACCTGAAAATATATTATAAATCTATTTGCTCTTGGTTATAAGATTTGAAGCTCCAAAAAAAACAGTACGTATCTTGTAGATTTTTTAAACTAGAAAATGAATGGTCTAAATAATACGTTACAAGAACGTATATTGTAGACTTTTCAAACTAAAAAATGGATGGTTGAAATAATGAGAGAAAGAAATATTGAAAGATCCGGCAAAGTTGTTCCTCATTGGACCAACCCATAATTTACTTCATTCGCTTCTCGATAGACATGAGTGAAGGAAATATTAAAAAACCAACATACTGCAACCACACATAACATAAGGACTACGGTAAATTTTGATCCTTTGCACCATTTTATAACATTGAGGGAATCTCTTATAGAGGCCCTAGAGCCTATTTCTACCTCACCTTATTAAAAAAATAACACATAAAATAATTAAACTTGAGAAAAGATCTTGGAAAAATAATTGATTCAATTAATATCCGATTATGAGAGGAAGAAAATTTTGGTCAATCACACTTCACCTCATTTAGAGAGAGAGGATGGTAGAGAGAGAGAGAAAGAGAGAGAAGATAGTCATTAACATGGACAAGTTTGCGGTGCTCCCCGAAGAGAAGTCCATTTTGAGGGTTTGGTGAGCATTAGAATGGCAATGGACATGGTGAGGAGATTTGCTGCTCCCGAGGGAGCATACAAAATCCTTCCTTTGAAGCACCGTGAAGTTCAAATTTCGAGGATAATATCTATTTTATTTGTAGGTTATCTGATTGATTTTGGTTTAATTTCTTCATTTATTTTGTAATTCTCAAACATATTTTTATGAAATTTTTTTTCATATTCTTTATATTAAAATTTGGTCAAAAAATTCATCTCAAAAATAGATTTTTAAGAGGTGACTCATTTCTACATCGACTCATAAAAACCGTATCCTATTTTTATTGGGTGTATGAGACCATTTTTAATAATAAAAAAAAGGTGCACCTTTAAGTTCGGGGAAGAAGCAGTTTTAGCGATGGAAATTATTACGATGGCCTAAGAATCTATTTTTGCCCCAAACTATGAAATTCAGCGATAGAGTGCCGATCGAGTAAATCTTTAGACACTTGGAAATCTTGAAAATGGATGGTCTATATAATTTATTACAAGATACACTATTTTTAAGACTTGAAATCGTTTTTGTCATATCTATGTATCTTAAGGGTGGGATGATCAATTGGAGGGTTTTTCAACATTGGAACCACATTTTCTAATGGATTTTTGAGGTGAGTCTTATTTCTATAGTATAAAGTTGTCATCTTATTTTTCATTGATAAGAGATAGACCCTTCCGTGCCATGAGTTTCAAAAGAAAATTTATCCGGTGACCCATCTTCCATTGGAAACATCTAATGACTAAGGGGTGATTTATAGCAAAGGTTAATGATCTTATTGTATACTTTACAAAAATCACTCTATTATAGACGATCTTCAAAACTTTTTTTTTGGGTAAGTCAGTAGGGTAAAAAGGTTCCCTACTTGTTTTTTATTAAGAAGGGATTAAAAAAAATACAAGCTCAATTGAGTATAACCCTGTTGCAGGGTATATGTGCAACATAAAAAATAAGCAATAGAGAAAGAAAATCAGGGGGGCTTAGCCCTTCATACAATATCTTTTGAGATAGATATAGCTTTCTTCGCAAGAGAATCAATTACCATATTAGTCTTACGAAAGTAGGTGTAATCTGCCAAAAATGTCTACTAGAGGATTAAGGGCATTAATAAGGAGACCTGGATTGCTTTGCATTAAGAAAGGAAAACTCTTTAATAGAAGGGCCAATTCAACTCCTATCTCTAGTGCTTGGAACTAAGCAAAATTATTGGAAGCAACACCAAGTAGTTTTGCAAACGTTGGATAAAAATGAAATTTACAAAAAGGTTTTGGTAAAAAAAAACCTTAAAAAGATATCATGCCATTGGACTTATTATATATCGGAAAAGTCCTATATGGGAAAAGTACATGAAAAGACTATTTACCTTTGACACAAAGAGGTCAAATTACTTTTATCCTTCATTTTAAATCAGGTGGTAGTAAGAATATCATTGATCAGACTCAAAATTTTAAAAAGAATTTCTCAAATTTTGTGATGCGCCCCAAGCCACTCGATTTGACATCCAATGACTAGGTATCAAAGATAAATGTTCTCATAGTATACAATCCCTTATATTTATACTTTTAGGAAGAGAGCTTGGGCTTAATTGGTTAGCGCTTGATGATTTGCAATGCTATATCCTAAGCTCAATTTTTACAAAGGGTAGAGGCCCTCTCCCCACTGATTCACCCTTAAAAAAAAAAAAAAAGGAGAATAAATAATAATAATAATAATTCGACTGAAGACAACCATAAAAAATATTAGACAAAAAATAAAATAAAAATTACAAAGATTATCCGACTAAAAATAGCCTTAAAAGTCCATTGACTCCATTCGATCAAAAAGGACCTTAAAAGGACTCGATAAAAAATGAATTTGATAAAAATTACTCTATTAAAAAAGTATTAAAAAATGAATTTGATAAAAATTACTCTATTAAAAAAGTATTAAAAAAATAAATAATGCAAAAACCAGATGGAGGTGCGGGGAATCGAACCCCGTGCCTCTCGCATGCGAAGCGAGCGCTCTACCATATGAGCTACGCCCCCACCAATGAACAGCGGCCAATTATTAATTTTTGTATCCTAAACTTTGTAACATAAAAATAACTATATAAAAAACTTTGCCTATTTTCGGTATCAGTAAAAGAGGATATGGAGATGCGGGGAATCGAACCCCGTGCCTCTCGCATGCGAAGCGAGCGCTCTACCATATGAGCTACACCCCCATGAACACATAGGCTGGGTTCAAAACGCAATTTGTTCTTTTGGAAGTTCAAGCCGACACACTTATTGTGTTTTACGGGGTGGTAACGGGTCGAGCCAGGTCGTGGTCAAGACGGATCCAAGGACAAAAAAGTTTTGTGGGACCCGGACCCAACCAGACTCTAAGTTATAATTAAAAAATATATATATTTTTATATTTTAAATATTATATGTTACTTTTTAGGGTTTGGGTTTGGGTGGGGGTCTGGGTCGGGTCTACATAGAACCGGATCCCACCCGTTGGGTCTAATTTTTGGACCCATATTCAGACCCCAATCGGGTCTAGTCGCGCCTGGGTCTTGGCGACTCTTGATTTTATGTTTACTCCTTTTTTCCTTTCTTTCTTTTTTTTTTTTCCAAAATAAAAGTAACAATCGCTTCGGATTGCAGCTATTTTTTTAAATTTTTTTATTTAACTCTGACTTCGTACCTTCTGAACTTTTTATATCTGCAAATTTTAATGTTAACTCGCTAAGCCTAGGTTAAATATAGTCAAAAGACTGCTTTTTTTTTTTAACATTGTCAAAAGAATATGTACTCTTGCGGGAACATATTATGCATTCAGTTTCGCGCCGGCAATCTTTTTTTAAGACTAAATTTTGAAGATTAAAATCCTTCAACCTAGCATCCATTCCAACCTAAGAGAAAAAAAAAGACAAAATCATATCCACTCTATGTAGGCATCGAAAAATAATCTTCTAATACGGCCGTCCAAATTTTGGAAAGCCAAATATTTTCCTAAAAATACTTATCTGGTAATCATAAAATGCAGGGGTGGCATTAGGTTGGGTTGGGTCTGGTTGGGGTTGGCTGGACCTGGACCTCGACCCAAAAAAAAATGGGACCCAAACCTGACTAGACCCCACCTAAAAATAGAAAATATATATTTAAATATTTAAATATTATATATTAAATATTATTTAAATAATAACAATATTCGGATTGGGTCCACATGATCAAAACATTGTTCGGGTTCAATATTTAATATGGGTAAAGCTAAAATTTAAGTGCCCATATTTCTCATCATGCACATGTAAAAAATACATACAAGAATAATAATTTTATTTAAATAAAATTCCCCCAAAAATTATAAATTCTTTTTGGTAAATTTTTTTTGCTTAATTGTTTTTTTTTTATACATACGTTATGGTAACAAGCATGACGAACACGTAAATTTTGAGCTTAATTCGATATATATAAACAAGAAATCGAAATATTAGACGTGTTCTTAAAAAATAGAACATGAATATAAAATATAAAATATTAGGGGTACCTTTTAAATTCTGAAAAATATAAGATATATTTACATAAAATTCCCTAATATTAAAGTACAAGGAACGTCGGATATATTTATAGCGTTTCTGCATCATTAATGTTAGTGAAAAGCATAATAAAGCTATTATTTGTATGTCTTAGTATTTGTAGCACATTGTTACAAATTTACCGTTACCATATCATCAGTTGTTAGCAACGTATGGCCCAGAGAGAGTCCTAGAGACTAATTTATTTGTTTCTGATTTGGTTAGGTGACAGCCTTTTAAAACCTTGCAATTTCCGATTCGGATTATCAATCTGGATCGTGTGGTTCCTAGCCGGGTTCCACTTAATAGTTCCCCTTTTACAATTTTTTTTAAGCTCAAGTCCCCTTAAATTCCCGCCCCATAAAACCCTATTTATCATTTATTTTAATATTTTTAGGAATCAACAATTCAGACCAATCCAAACCTGAACTAGATCACTAATCTAGCAATCCAACATGGATCTATGGGTGAATGATGCACCTACCGATCCAAGTTTTAAGACACTGGTTTGTTATGATGGCTCAAGTATTCCCTTTAGCAAAGATATTTCCCTCTTGTTGATAAATTTATCATCCTTTGAACACTGTTTTCCTTTTTATTTTGGGAGAAAATGCGCTGTTTTTCTCATCATGTTGAGAAACCAAATTAATCTCTCTCTCTCGCTCTCTCACACACACACACACACTCACTTACTTTCCAATCTCATTTTGTATTTCTTCGCTACTTTCTTTTCTCCACTCCAAGTTATATCCGAGCTTCCTCTTTTTCAATATCTTGCTTTGATTCTCTCGGGAAAAAATTTCAGCTTGATGGATGAAGCATTTGAAGTGGAGTGAATTCTTTCTTTCTCCAATTCAAAGAGAAATAAAGAAGTTGATCTCACTAAACTATGCACAATTTATTCTGCATTCTTTTCCATATTAAGTTAAAAAAAAGGCAGTGAAACTACTTGTATTACATGCCACATATCAAAAACCAGCATCTGCAGTGCTTTCCGATCCTAGGAACAAAACATGCTCCGAGAGTGAACTGTTCACTCAAATATGTAACGGTTGAACCATTCACTATGCAAAACTGCAAGCCCATCTGCTCAGTCACTCTGTCCACTGTTTCTGCCAATAATATCTTCTCTTGGTAAGAAAAAAATGAAAGTTACTACCACATATTTCCAGGACATGAAGAAAAAGTACACCATACATCCACAAATATAGATACATGCATATATAATTTCCATAAATATATGAGGAAATGGGCGGGATGAGAAACCTTAGTAGGTTGGTACAGAGGCATCAGCTTTAACAGCATATGCATGTATGCCCCCTGCTATGTTGAATACTCTCTTAAAACCCTGAAGCACAGCCAAAATAAGTAAAGAGAGAAAAAGCTCTGAAGTACAACCAAAATGAATGTGTGTGTGAGGGAGAGAGAAAGAGACCTGTGATTGCAACCATTTTGCAACTTGTAGAGACCTTACCCCATGGTGACACTGCAATTTAGAATAATTGGAGAACCAACAGAATCCATAAGTAATGAATTTCAAAATAAGCACTCGAAAAGTGGAGAGAAAAGCATTGGACTGTAAAATTAATAAGGAAGCCACCTATAAAGATAATGATTTAGCTAACAAGTGCAAGAAGTATGATATCTTTGATTGGAAGCTCTCTATATTATTCCTTCTGCGCAAAAACTAGGTCCAAAAGAAAATGATTGAAATATCTAAAAAGGGTAAACAATTCACTTCAACTTTAGAAAATATAAAAAGACATCTGGTTGAGAAAATAACTCAAAATTTACAATCACTGCCCATCAACTGCTGAAAAAACACCAAGGATTCCAAATATCTAGAAATTGAACACAATTTTGCACCGAACTAACTGAATTATTCCCATGGTAGTGAAAGTGATAAAGCCAAATAATTACAAGAACATCTACGAATCCAGGCATCCAGAATTGAATGCCATTACAAACCAAACTCACCAAATTACGCTCAAGGTAGCAATGACAAAGTGCAAAATTATACGCATCAATATTTTCATCCAAAGTGCAAAACCAGTTGTTTTTTTTTTCCTAAATGATGTTATCCACCCTTTACACTATATCTTACTGTACAATATAATTATGAAAAACTGATGGCACTTTAGTAATGTATTACCTATCTAAAGGAGTGTAATGGAGTAACTAAATATGCAGAAGCAAATAGCAAAACAGGAAAGTAAACTGTAATCATATGGATTATGGAAGGCCATAGTCAATTGGGGCTCCCATCGTCTTTTCTCAAAGAAAGATGGTAGAGGTTAACTGTAGTTCCTAAACAAAGACAACCAAGTACGGTTCATAAGCACTATTTAGGTAGAGAATGGGCAATGGCGTATGTGCCAGCAGTGTAGCATTTACCATACACAACCTATGTATAGTTTACTTTCCATTTCACAAATGACATTCATGGAGTTTTAAAATTATATAGGTAAAATCTTGTTGATGGAATTTCAGGGGTATATACTTGTCCACTAAATAAGTAGGGAGAGTTTAGGTAGAGAGTATTAGTCTCCTGGGGTTTGGTTCTAATTGCTCTCCATTGTTACTTCTTCACCCTCAGGGGGTCCTCTACTCACTAAGTCGTTCAACCAGGTGAGCTTGTGGGTCAAAGGCCCTTCTTTGCATCCGGATAAGCAGTGGGCCATAGCCACACCTAAAGCACACAAATGTGATTCCTTCTTGCTGTTTATTAGCAGCTCCACATCCTTTACCACCATTTCCTTGTTGAAGGTTTGGTTGGGTACTATGTTGGTTAGGGTAAGAACTGCCATGTCTAGCTCATTGTGACCTCCCAATCGGACCTTGAAGCTCCTTGGCCGCCAATAATTATTCTCATTGATGTTCTTCAACTTCCACTGCAAGTTGGTAGGCATCAAGAGCATGAGGGGTGACTTGATCTTGGATGGCAACCTGCTTACTATTATTTTTCATATTGGACAGGCAGATCAAACTTGATCACCCACAGGGTTCCAAGCCAGATAGGCAAACTGGACTTGTTCAACAGGTTTGGCTGTACGGGTCTAGGAAAAAAAGTTCGTAAAATTCACAGGAAAAATGATTTCACATTAGTTTGTGAAAGAAATTGGACTGCTGCATTAGTTATTTTGACGAACTTATAAAAAATCCTAGGGTTCTTCAGAAAATAAAAAACGATTAAAAACATTCGCAATCTCCAAAAATATTGTTTTAAATCATGCAATACCTATTGTAGCTTGAAGATAACACTCTCTACAATGAAACCCTAACCAAAAAAAATCCCAAACAAAAAACTAAAGTAGCATTCTCAAAAAAAAAAAAAACAAAAAGAAAAGTAACAAAGTTTACCAAAAAAGATCAAAATGCAAGATTCTTTTAAAAAATCCAAGAGTTTTTCAAGAAAGATAAATGTGAAAAAATTCAAAAGCTACAAAAATATTGTTTTAACTCATGCAATACCCGTTGTAGATTTAAAGACAACACTGTCTACAAAATAAATAACTAAATCTAGCGAAAAATAAAGAAGAAAAATATGATTGGTGTTTTAAAATCTAAGGATTTTTATTTTTAAAAATGATAAAAGATTGACATCTACTCCATATTTTGAAATTCCTAGAGTAGATTGCGGATAAAACCATCTAGGGAGGAACCCCTAAAGGAATCTTGGATTAAACTCATAAATTATCAGAACTGACCTTGGATTTCCAAAAATGGTTGAATTTTTGATGCTAGATATCTTTCTACATGATTTTTGACTGGAGAAATTGTGTTACAGATCTGTTAAAGGGCACCAATTTGGATTTTTTGACACAAATTACTTTGGTAGAGAAAATCAGGAGAAATCGAAGTAATGGTGGATCAGTTTTTTTTTACCAAAAAAGTCAAAAAAAAGAGTAAATAGTAAAACTCCAAACAAGTGCATGGACTTTGTCATAGAGTACAATGTTTCAAAAAGCGCTAGGGAGGGTCCTAGACTGCCTGGGGGGTCCAGGCCGCCTAGCACCTAGGCGAGCGCCTAGAACCTGGGCGGCCCAATTGAATCCAAAAAGGATTTTGCAGTTATGTCAGTATCAGTTATATGTATTGTAGTACATAATTCAAATTATACTACATATTAGCATTTAGCACACACACCATAAACATAACTATAATCCATAAGTCGGTTCATACTTCATATCCAATTAAAACTTAAAATTTTCCAACCAACCAAATTATCAAACCAAGTTACCAAATAGTATCAAACCAATACTGCAGTACACCACAATGAGGAATAAAACAAAATTGAATTATGAAACTATGGAAGTAATACTTGAAGACTCAAAAGAATCTTCAATAGTTCAATACTTTAATCAAAGTTCAAACTTTCAAAGTTTAATAATTATTCAACATTCATCATTCATTCATCATCAGAAAATCTTGGGTCAGCTGCATTGGCATCATATTCATCGGAGTCGATGGAGTCGTCACCCTCCTCGACATATTGGTTGTCCTCGTCCTCCTTCGTCTCTTCTGAATCAACCTCTTCTTCCTCCTCTTCCTCCACCCTTGTTCTCTGTGCAGAAGATCTAGTGGTCTAAGAGGGTCAGCTGATGTCCCTGAAGCATCCATGACCATGTCCCATGTCAATTCTTCATGCCCCTCGACCTCATCATCATCAACTAATCACTCCATAGCATGGTCCATATTTTTTGATCTGATGGGATGTCTCTTATCTCTCTTAGCAAACTTGTCTTTCAAGAATCGATTGTACTTGACATAGATTAGGTCATTGAGCCTCTTTGATTCAAGCTTGTTCTTTTTCTTTGCATGAATCTAACAAAATCAAATGCAACTAATTAAAATCTAATATCTATGATTCATGTATTATTCATAAAATTATACAAACCTTAGTTACGGCCTTACCCCTTCAAAAGTACTCCAATTGCGCTCACAACCGGATGAAGAAGTGGTTAGGTTTAAGAACCAAATGGCCAACTTTTGTAAATTTGGAGAACTACACCCATGTTGGCTCCACCAATGGGCTGCAAAGATATAGAAAAAAAATCATAAATAATTAAAATAAATTTATTTCTCACCTTCTTCCCAACCTGAAAGGATTTAGCGCCCTTCAACCCTCACCAAAAAGCCTTAGAAAGGATAATATCCCTCACCTTCTTTCCAACTTGATCCTTAGACCGCTTGCATGCTCTCCAATCATCCGAGGTAAACATTTAACTCAACTGCACTCTCCTCGAATGTATGCTATCTAGGCATAAGTATTAAGTCGCAAATCTCGAGACCCCAGGCCTCACAATCCCTTTCTTCTTTGTAAAGGTACGCATCATACTGAGGGTGAGATGGTGGCTATAAATAAAATTTGTAACTAATTTGGCCTTCTTCATTGCACCTGATATCTCAGTTAAACCGCCAAGAGCCTCAAGCATGAGGTCTATACAATGTGCTGCATATGGTGTCCAAAGGATTCTAGGATAAGCTATGCGCAACAAATTAGATGCAGCAACATTAGGAGCAGCATTGTCTGTGACAACCTGTACAACAAGATGTTCCCCAACCTCCTTCATTCCCTTCTCTATCACTTGAAATATGTAATGGGCATCATGGATATGATTAGAGGCATCAATAGACCTAAAAAAAAAATCCCTACAGGACAATTTACAAGCAAATTCATCTGACTTCTTCTCTTCCTATCACTCCAAGCATCAGTCATAATAGAAACCCCATACTGAAACCATGCATCCTTCTTAAGTTCTACAGCTTCCTTCGTGACACTCATTGTTTTTTTTAAAAAAGGTTCTAAAAAGCTCATATGCGGTTGGGGGTTTCATCCCAGGACCAAATTGGCCAATTGCCTCTACCGCAGCATAGAAGCTGCTTACGCGAGCGGTATTGAAAGGAATGCCCGCCTCATAAAACCATATAGCAAGATAATACACAGCTCTATCTCTCTCTTCCTTCTTGATTCTATTTTTAATGATGGTTTGCTTCTTTGTTTGCTCTCCTGCAACCTCAAGATTAAGCCAAGGTAAAAAACTATCCATAGGGCCCCTAACCCGAGGCTTCTTAATCCTAAAACCAAAAGCAATTACAACTCCCTTCCCCTTAATAATGGATTGTTCAACCTCTTGACATCTCTCCCCAATCCTTTCCTCATCACTATCATCATCATCATAATTGACCCGAACCCCAAACCTAATCTCTGCTATAGAGGCCAATCTTTCATATTTTTTCATTTTAACCACGTTCAAAAAATTGTTTATTTCCTCTTTAACATCATCAAGAGTCTTTTTACATGAGGCAACATCCCCCCTGATACCGGCAAGATGTTTCTTAAACCGGTTTATGCCCCCTTTTGTATCCTTATCACAAAATTTGCATCTTATGCAATTTTTATCATTAGGATCTGGGTTATAGCCATATTTCCAACCGAGATCACCACTCCTATTAGATCCCGAAGAAGACATCTAAAAAATAATG